TAAGATATGTTTCAATTTATTCGACAAAAAATTCTCGACAAGACCCTTGATACAGTTCTTAGATTCAAAACCGTAGGCAATTTAAAAATGATCGATTTTTTAAAAGCATCGAAAGTTTATAATTTAATTTAATAATATCTTCTCTTTTTTTGTATGCTATTATAATGACATATATTTTTATTGTAATTTTATTTAATTAGTACATCTATAAATATTGTAAATACTGTACTTATCATAATTATACCTATATTGTATCAATATTGTCACCTAATAACTCAAAAAGTCAAATGATACATCCCGATAAGGTGATAAACACACATGTAATTACCAAAACTAATGGCCTTAGATGTCAGGTTTTTGAGATAAAGAAAAAGAAATGTTTTATAAAAACGTCAACAAATAACAGTTGAATGTAAATATACAAAATATAACATAAATTATATTTACAAGTTTCTATATACATATATATWAATCAGAGCTCTTAAATGTGCACTATAAAGCTTAAATAATATGAAAAAATAAATTGTTTAAAATAATATGTAAAATCTAAAACCATGTAGGAACGTATTAAAACTTGAATATTAACTTGATATTAAAAATATTTATTATTTTGTTAATTAAATCCTGTGACTTTAGTCCTAAGTTTTTTCCCTATTTACCATGATGATCTATCTCCTATTTTTAGTGGATTGGCCCCTCACAAGGGCGTCAATTTCTTTTGCCACCGAGTGAAAAACTGGATTAATTATTTATATTATTTCTTGACACCACATATTGATTATAGTATTTTATATTTATATTAAATGAGATAATATTTTGTTTACGTTACATCGTTAAATTAATATTTTACTGTATACACCTGTAGCAGAAATATGGTAAAATAAAATAAATAAATATTGCTTTAAATATGTATTAATGTAATTTTTTAGGTTATTAATTCTTATACATTGTCTTTGTCTTAAAATTAAAAGATGACTTAAAATCTGCTGTAAGGTAGTACTCTATATACATATTATACAAAATATACATACATAATATATAGAGGTAGTCTCATATCCTTTTGTAACACAACAACAATGATTTGYCTGTTCTATACTTGGCGTAAAATCACTGTGATTGAAATATGGAACTTTTTTAATTCATTTTTTTTAGTGTAAGCTAGACGGTGGGATGATAGCGACAACAGCAATTAAAGTCAATGTGCTCCAAGTGATAATAAATGTGTGAAATTGCTGCTGGTACGCATTATACCTATTTCATTGAAGTATAACATTTTATAGTATTCCAATGACATTTCACTCGGATGAATTTGCGAGTTTAATTTCTGACAATTATAAATTATTATATATAATATCAGTTTTGTAATTGTGTAATTATATGTGCATACAAKTTATGTGCACTTATTGTTGTATTTTATTATTATTATTTTTTTTTTCATCGTAATTTATTCTATATGCATTCTTTCCGACAAGTTATTAAAATACAATGCACGACACAATTCAGTTAACATAATATTGTGTGTGTGTTTTATAAGTTACGAACATATATATAGTCATATTATATTTAATGTAGTTATTTTTCACGTGTTCTAAACGCATAGGTATTTTCTCATACTAAGTTAATTAACATGATATTATACTACTACTGCATCGGTCTACAATATAATAAAATATTTTTTAGATTAATAACAATAATATTATAAAACTCGCATTTTTAAAATGATTTTTTCGTCGTTCTTCTTTTGTTCATAATATTGAACTATTTTTTCCGAAGTAGTATCGTTTGAAAAGCAACGTAATTTTACTCATTTTATAAAATAAAAGTAATTGTTTTAATTTTTTATGGTGCAATTCATGAATTTAAAATGATGTTAATTTAACATCATATATCGGACAACATTTTACGTACTTAAAGAATAAAGTCACGGATTGTATTTGACATGAATAATGTACATTTTTTGGTTGAAAATCAGCATGCAAAGAGCTTTGCTATATTTACGGTTAGGTACATTTAATTTTTTTTTTCATGGAGCATTAGGAATCTTAGTAATCATTTAAAAGAAATCTAAATATTTCTACTTGTGGATCAACGTGTGTTCTACTTCTATTTGGTGTATTGAAATTGAACTACGTAACGATGTCTTATAATTAATTTAATACGAAGGTATGTAACCATAATTAAATGTAGAAAAAAAACTATAAGCAACCAATGTTTTAAAATATCAYGCTTCATTTATGAATAGGTAATTAGATGYGCACACGATTTTGAAACCTAATAATTCATAAAAACAATAAAATATATTAGGTATATACTATATTTGAATTTAAAAATAAAGCAGCAACCTTAAATGTACTTAGTTGTTATTATTATATTATTAATAGAAATTTATGATACAATTTTAATAGTTGTATCTCGAATTAGCTAAGATCAATCATTGTAACTTAAAAAAAATTATTAAATATTTCGAATAATTAATATGTTTGAAGTGTTTATTAATTTATATTATACCTAATATTCGTTTTTATTAAACAAAAAATTGGATTAACCGTAGGATTTTATATTATATTTACAAACGTGATGTAATAAAAAAATCTAAGGCATACAATTTTTTTTCAAAATGTATTTAAAATTTTAAAACAGACCTATAAATAAGAAATTGTATGTAAGTTCATATTTTTTTTTTTAATTTTTCATTATATTTCGAGAAAATTACTTAAATACAGCAAAAACTTGTTAAATCAACGTCAAATCACAGAAAGTTTTATTGCAAATTAGAAAATATATCAAACTTAATATTATTATAACTTGTAATAGTATGCATAATATGCTGAAACATTTTAATTGTGATAAAAAATGCAGGGTGATTAACTATAAGCATGCTCAATGCTTTTGTTCTTCAATAATACAGTTCTTCGAATTATGATTATTTTCTACCTACTTTTAAAATTCTTGATGTTTTCATACTTTTTAAGAAGTTTCATGTGGTGATACAAACTTTTGTTTTTCATATGAAATCCACAAAATTAAATTATTTAGTGAACAATTTATTGTTTTGAACATTTTCATGTAACTATAATTCAAAATTCTAACGAGTAAGTTCTTAGAAAATATTAAATGATTTTAAGTTGTGATTTAATTTTCAAAAATATTTAGTATTATGTATTGAGATGTATGAAAATATTTTTCGCTGTATGTAAGAAAATGTTTGATATTAGGTTAAGTAGTATGGTAATACCTACTTTTAATTATAACTCTATACTAAGAGTGGCTAACATGAATACGTCCACGAGCCACATATATAAGTACACTGATATCGAACCAACATTTTTATAAATACATTTTATAATTTTATCGCATTTTATCGTTTTTTTTTTTTTTTAATAAGGCGAGAGACGCATACGACTATGACGTGAGACATCGTGTTTTCATTGTTTTGAGAGTATTGAAGATATAAATTTTAGTTAAATCTTTTAATTTGAATACTATATAGATTTTATAATGTTTTTTTTTTCATGTTAAATAATATGATGTAATATAATTCGTGATTTTCATATTTAAACTGCAATTTTTTTGTTTCATTATTGTTTAGTAGTTTAATATAACGTAATTGTATGATAAAATTATATTGTTATTTTTAGATTTTCGTGAACACTTACAGTTCTATGAATAAATAATTTAACCCTAAATTTATGCTTATTATTTTAATCGAACGGGACAATTGATTACGATAATTATTAATTGCTCTCCGATAGTCTGATCCATAACATATCCTTAATATCGTTAGGTTTATGARCTATAAATACAATTCAACACTTTTATTACATAGATACGAGATTCAACCTGAAAATGCTTATAAGCACAAAATCTTATTATTCTATCAACGCATTTACACCACCACAAAATTGTACTGTTAGCAATAATTTTTCTTGGTGAAAAGAATTGAATGATGTGTTTTTGGCACACATTAACGGATAGTTCAACGACGAGTGCAATAAATTGTTTTATTTAATTACATTTAATATTATGAAAAAGTATTGAGTATATAGTATGTAAACAAAATACTATAATAATAACGATTACATTTTGTACCACAACTGGTAACCGAAGGTGATTGTGTAAATGCAATCACAAATATGTAATTAACGGAAGATGTAAGCTCTAAACTGAGATAAGAAAAATAATAATMTATTAAATACTCGTACAACCATCAAAATCCCTGACACCTGTGCGATTCATGCCAGATATAAAATTTAGAACTATTAACGTAAATAATTTGAATCTAAAATTAATGTAACTATATTTYATAATAATAGATCATCAAAGTTTTTGGGTCATAACAGTAATCTATACCGTACTTACTGCGAAAYTTAATTTTACATAATAATAAAAGCGCTTATGCATTTATTATTTAATGAACAATATCGTAGATTTTTACGGCTATTAATTATAATTATTATCATCATTGATAATTTTTAATATTATGATATATATAAAATATTAAACTATTGATATTTCTTTTAAATATCTTTTTTGTGCTTTTTTCCTACCAATTTTGGCGCTAATGATTAATTTTTGGAGTAATTATGTCATATACGAGTAATATATAGCCAATGTAATTTGAGTATGTCTAACTATAAGTATATTAAATACATATATTATGGATGAAATGTGTTGCACACCATACGCGCGTGCGTATAAAATATATTTATAATAATCGCATTCGAATACATATGGGTTTCCAGATTCCACCGATCGTGCAGGAAAAAATAATCCGTGTCCGGGGTCAAATGTGGCATCCGCGGGACCTTGACCGCTGGACCCCGGGCTCATACAGTAATACTACAGTTTTTATCGTACCTATGATGATTTTTTTTCGTTTCGCTCGTACCTACCACCGCCGCAGCCGCTTCCGTCGTTATCTTCTTTTTGGCCGCAGCGGCGGCGTTAAAGTCTCCCGGTGCAGACTGGTCCGGCTTTCGCTATATATAAGAACGAAACACCAACGGTTCGTACTCTTTACGCCGGAACAAACCAGTCCGCAAACAACGCACCCGCGATTGTAATCGCACATACACACACACTGAGGTATACGTTCACTCTCGTCTGCCGCGTCGTCTCGCACATAACATTAACATTAAAAATATACACATTCACGCACGCGAACGTAACATAGCTCCGGTCGTTCGGGTTCCAGCAGGATAACCCATACGAGCATCCGGACGCCATGCAYCTGCAACGGGACGGCAAAATGTCTCTGAGACCGTGTACAAACGTGAGTACTTATTTTTATTTATAACCGTAGTGTTATATCATAATATATCTGATTGGAAGATTTATCGAACAAAGATTTAAAAAAGCACATTAGCACAGCATTCCGAAAARGTTATTTTAATGGAAAGTAATATCATTGTTAGAACAATAAATACATTTTCTTTTTCGCTTAAGATGGTTGATGAGATTTTGATGTACAAACCAAATCATTGTTATGTACGAATTTATATTTTTAATAGTTTAACAATTTTTAGTTTGTTACTTTTCTTTTACTTGTAGGTATTGGTTTTTGGTATTATAAACTTAATCGACTTAATACACTAAAATTAACTTAATATACGAGTTGTAAAAATTTTAAATTTTGAAATGCATTAACTAGGTACATAAGCAGTATACTTAATAATATTATTATGAAGGTACCTTAGTTATAACCTAGTTATTTCAGCTGTCTTAATTTTACGGATAA